AAGGTGGACACTGATGGTGGCCTTTGTACTGGTGAAATGTTGATCATAGCCATCAGAGTGATTGCTAGCTGGGCACTGACTAGGCGCTGCTCACCGAGTGGGTTCATTGAGCTTCCTTGTGGGGTTCATCCCCAGAACCAGCCTAGGGAGACACAAGTCCCAACTGTCTTCAAGGTCAGCCCTTGGTTATACAGCACGAGCAGGGGAGACCCGAGGATCCCTCTGGACTCAGCTCCCTGCACAGTCAGTGGGGCAGTGGCAACTGTTCTGTCTCCTACAGGAGGCTCCCAGGTGGTGGGTGTGTCACCCTCGGTCTGTGGCACCTCTGCACCTAAAGAGACCTGCATCCTTTATGACCTTCAAATGACCTCAAATGGGGATCCTTACCTGCACTGCACCTTGGGAACGAGCTCAGGATAATTTCATCCTATGTAGGGCTTACCCTCAGACACCTGAGACCTCAGTTACCAGACTTGGGTCATCACCACCACCATCTCCAGGATACTTTCATCTCCCCAAGCTACAGCTCTACCCTTATGACACCCACGCCTGCCCACCACAGCTGGGTCTTCCACACTGTTTCCTACCCCATGACTCTGACTGTTGGTCCTGTCCAGCTGTGTCTGACCTGCACTTGAGCAGCCTGAGACTGAAACACATCTTGTAGAGAAAGGTCGCAGTCCCAGCATGTGCTGAGCCACAGGACAGGGACAGCCTGCTTCCCATTCCCTTCCCTCTCCTTCCTGACATTTGGCTTCCCTAAGAAGCTGGGCTGCACCAGCTGGGCTCTGATGCTGCTTGTACCAAAGGCCACTGTTAGGCCACCTAAGAGTTAGTTAGAAGTCCTGAGCAAGGCAGCACGCACTCACCAAGCCACACAAATCCTCCTGACTGAAATTTTCTTTAAACTGGAGGTGGTGGCACATGCCTGTAATCTTAGCATGCTGGGAAGCTGAGGCAGGAGGCTCTCAGGTTCAAGCCCAGTCTAGACAACTTATTGACTTTGTGAGACCCTGTCTCTAAATAAAAAAGGACCTGGGATGTGGGTCAGTATGTAGGCCCTGGGCTCAGTCCCCAGTAATGTGTACACACACACACACACACACACACACACACACACACACACACACACAATTCCTGTTACATAAACAGTCCTCCTTGGGACCAAAGGCAGACTGTGATGGCACCATCTGTGCAGGGGCCACTGGGCCAGGCTCTCCAGGGGACATCTGTGTCTGCCCTACCCATGGGAATCCTCACTGAAGATCACTTGCTCCTGTGGGCCCCAACTCCCCTCTCTGGCTGTGCCCCGGAACTCTGGTCTGCCTGGGTGCTGACCCTTGTGAGTTGCAGCAGGTTGGAAACCATGTGTGCAGAATAGAGCAGCACTTTCCAGAGGACTAAGCAGCCAGCAGCACAGGGACCGAGGTCTGGATGGGGGCTTCAAGAGGCACAGTCCAGGATGGTGTCACACTCTTAAAAAAGTGCTCATGTGGCAAAATGACCCCACTGCCCCAGGTATTTTTCCTTTAAAATACATGTGATTTTTAAGTTTGTTTGCTTCTTTCTGAGGCCTCTGCCTGGTGTAGGCACCACATGGGGCACTCGGCCTTCTTGTGGATGACACAGTCGAGGCTTCTCTCCTCTGTACCAGTGAGGCCTCCACACTCATGGGCTCTGCAGCCCTGGAGCCAACTCAGGTAGATTGAAAATATTTGAAGAAAACCACTGGCACAGAACATGCACAAACATCCTTCCTGTCATTCCCTGGATGACGCAGCACAGCAGTGTTCACACACGCTGTATAGACTCAGTGTTGTTAGTGACCAGAGCTGCTCTGACAAACAAGAGGACAGATGTGGGCTGTGTGACCAGCTCACTGCCTTCTATTAGGACCAGAACAGCCTGGTCTGGGATCTGGGTGTGGGGTGGTCCTGGAGCCAATCCTCTCCTGAGTAGGGATAACTGCATACTTAGTTTTGAAATTTTAAAATATAGATCAGATTTTTGGAAGTAAAAATTTTAAGGTGCACACTGTTTTGGTAAGGAAAGAGTTCCATCACTAGAGAAGAAGTAGTCTGTGTGGGGACAGGATGCCCCCCCAATACTGAACGTGTAGGCTTTGCTCTGGCTGTGCCCAGCAGGCCAGGGACTGGCGCAGAGATCTCAGTGCCCAAGCTCAGAGCTGTGGGGCAGGAGGGCACATGGCCCTGGGACTGCAGGGAAAGGAGAGGCCTGGAGGGCCAGGGCACAAAGCCTGTGAGGCACATGTGGCATATTCTACCTCTCCCTGTCCTCGTCATGGCTATGCTGTCCTGCTGAAGACCTGGGACACCAGGCTTTTCCTTCCTTCCCAGCCCTCTCCCTGCTTGCTCTCTGGACACCACAATGACCACAGCATTTGTTATGATGCTGTGGTGTCACCCACGGGCTGTTCAGTAAAAGTCTGCTGCTTACAACATGGTACTAGGAGGAATGGCATCCCTGTCCACGTCCAGTCAGATCCTGGCTTCATGGCCACTGCATTGGTGAGGATGGTGTCCCTACAATATCCCATCAGAATCTGGGGACATGGTCATTATACCGGCTAGAAGAGGGTCCCTGGCATGTCCACTTATATCCGGCAATGTTGCCACTGTACTGGGGAGGATCATGATACCCCCACTCATGTCTAGTAACAATTTGGGGCTATGCCTCTATGTAGGAAAAATGTCTTTGCTGATGTCACCAGGGAAGATGAGGTCACCGCAGTTAAGATGGACTCCATGACTAATGGCTGGTGTCCTTGAAAGGGGGAAATCTAGACACAGAAGCAGACACAATGGGAAAGAAGCTACATGACAACAGTTGGGGCAGAGAACAGAGAGATGTAGCCAGTCTAGGAAATGGGATCGCAGCATCTGGAACCAGGTAGGTCCTGCCTCCTGACCTCCTGAGTCCAGTGAGCACAAACCCTGTTGTCCTAAGCCAACTGCTGTGTGTCACTGTCACAGTCATAGTGGCCCTAAGGCACATTTGCTCACTCCTGACAAAGCACACTTGCTTGCTGCTCTAGCAGGGTGCTCAGGTCAACACCCCAAAGCTGGAGGGCTGAGCAAGATGTGCTGGTCGTTTCCATAATGAATGTGTCTTGAGGTATGTGGTCAGGGTTGATTAAAGACCACAAATTCAGGTAGTGAGAAGAGGGGCAACTTTGCTGTCTGCCACCAATGGCTTCATGTTTCCAGTTGAGTTCTTCTCCAAAATACTCCCCCATTTCTGTGGATTTGGAGGGTTTCAGCCTCTGCTGAGTGTATGCCTTGCATCTGGGTGTTTAAGGGTGTCTGTCTGGGCCAAGCCATCACTCAGGGCAGGAGGACACACTGGACAATGCTGACATCTGCAGATAACGGACTTGGGGCCAGTTGTGCAGATGCTTTCTATGCCTGCATAAGGAGCATCCCCGAGGTGGCCAGGTGTGAGCATGACATCCAGTCACAGGAGTTTGGGAGGGGTGAGGCCAGTGTCTGTGGCCAGACCTCCTCGGGGGGCTTTGCCGCTAAGGGCACAGGGACATCCCAGTGGGGCTGAGGGTCTGGCTACCAACTCCTCTGTCCCAGACACTGTGGTTCCAGGAGCTATTTGCTGCATCCTGACCAAGGTGTCTTACTGATCTGGTACTTTGCCTCACACCAAAATTTGTTCTAGTAATTTCATTTGGAGATGTTTCCTTTGTATTCTCTAAAAGATACTGCATGCTGTGGGCAAGGTTGGAGTGAGCTACCTCCAGCCACCACAGCTGCCCCCAATACTCAGGCAGAAAGAGGGGCTCACTTAGATGAGGGGTTCAGGTGAAGGGCAATGTGTGAGACAGGAATGCAGTGTCCTCCACATCCAAGTGTGCTCACACAGAGGGAAGCGCAGCATCCAAGGCAGAGGGGCCCTCATGCAGGACTATGGGCTCCACAGTGAGACTTATGTGGCATGAAGACGCAGGCACAATAAGAGCAGGTGATGAGGACAACATGCTGCAAGTCCCAGCTTCCTCCCTGCAGCTGGGTTAGCCCGGGATCTCTCGGGTCTCACCTGGGAAATCCCAGTCCTTCCTGACTCCCAGAAAGCCCTGCCTGATTGACCTCTGGCAGTGAGAGCAATATTCCCTCCTTCTAGGAGGGGCAGGAGAAGGTGGACCACAGAGTTGGGAAAGGGAACATGATCGAACGGACTGACCTTTATAGTCATGAATTTCTACATGAGAAGATGGTGCCACTTCTAGGGTCTAAACAGCCCCACTAGAGTATGACCCTTGTATGGCTATCAGCAATGGGGTCTCCACCCACCACACCCACCAGGGCCAACACATGGGTCGGCCCTGCCTCCTCCTGTGTCTACCCTGGGACACAGCAGGCCTGTAGAGTGGCAGAGGTCACAGCCGCTGCTGGAGGAGCACACGTGCTGCTGAGGACCACAGTGTCACTCCCGAACCTGCTCCTTGTTAGCTTTGTCAGAGGCTGGCGAGGGGAAATGCAGAGTTCTGCCCCAGTTTAGGGGATGCTACCATCCACCCTCAATGTTGATGCCTGGGTCTGGTGAGCCAGGATGTGCTGCACAAGGAGTCTGCCTGGCCTTTCAGATGCATGAGACTCCTCAGAGGGGAACTGTACTTTAGCATCTTTGCCTTCCTAAGACTGAAGCAACAGGTAAGGGGCATTTTCAAGTAAAATATAACATTGTAAACATGCATTAACTTCATTTCCTTATACTGAATAAAATGAAATTATAAAGTGGATAAAAAGCAAAGGTCTCTACAGCATCTCAAAGGGGGTTTATCATACTCAAACTTGATGACAGAAAGATCAACAATGAAAATATTAATGGACATATAAGTTCTGGAATCCTGTAATATTTGAAGAATACCTGTAAGTAAGTTTGAACTGGCTTAATGAAATTCAAGGCCTAATTTATGGTCAATTTATTAAGATTTTATTTTTAGAAAAAAGTAGTAATTAAGGAAGACTCACCTGCCAGAAGTCAGCCACCGTGGCAGGCAGTGGTCCTTGGGTGGTGATGTACGCAGGGTTCCTTGGGTCATGGTCCATCTGCAGAGACAAGACGACCGTCACAAGGGTCAGCTGCATAGGTGGGAGACCGAAGAAGAATGCAGTTGAGGAGGACAAGGGTGACAGGGCAGGTGGGCACTCACCTGCACGCAGGGACCCAGCCCACACACCATGCCCTGAGCCTGGACTCACAGGCAGGATGCTTTTCTGAGGCCTGCACTGAGGTTCTAACAGTAGCATCAACAGAAATGGAGAGCAGGAGCCATGAGGGCCCCACATGTGTGGCAGGCTGGTGGCCCTGGCTATACAGCAGCAGTCAAGGGGGCTGGGGCTCAGGGGAACATGGCCCTGGTACCATGTGGATGGCCTCTGCCTCCAGGCTTAGAGCCTGCCTATTACAATGGGTACCCTCTGGGAGGTCTGTGGAGGGCGTGGGCACCCAGCGCCCAGGGAAAGCTTGCTATGACTGCAGGGCTCAGCTGAGCACCCGGACATCTCTGGGCCATGCCTGGGGGCTAAGGCAGTCATGGGCTCACCTCAAGGGCCGCCCGTTGTCCATCCCTGCCCAGTAGCCCAGCACTGGGAATAAGCAGAGGTCCTGGAGCCTTTCCAGGAGCTGATTTGCCCCACATGTGCTGCTGGCTCTAGTGGGGACTCTGAGCTGGAAGATCTCAATTACAACGTGATATTCAAAGACTGATAATGCAGGGACAAAATACAAAGAGCACGAGGACAAAGCTTTGAGAGGCTAGTGGGATGGAAGCCACAGCGGAGAATAGTCATGCCCAGGACCTCCTGGCTACCCTGCAAAAGACAGGGCACGCACCTCACTATGCCCATGTCATGGGGAAGCTCTACTCCCTCCAGCAGGGGCCCCATGACCCACCAGAGGGCAGGAGGCTGGGGGACCTGGCTGAGGCAGATGGTGGCCTACTCAGACCTCCACCTTCCATGTCTGAGGATGAGGACACAAGTGCGATGAGGGACATGGGATGCTCTGAAGCTCAAGATTTTTCAGTGGTGAGAAATGAGAGCATTTTAACCCCATGTAAAATCTCGGATCCCTTTAGAATACTTGGACACCATCAACTTGGAGGCTGTGCGGACACCCATGATGACGCACACCCTGACGAGGTTCAGGGGACACAGTGTAAGTTATCCCTGCAGAACATGCATGGCACTAGCCTGTGGCTGGGCAGCTGGAAAGCTTTGTGCACCTAATTTAGGGGTTCCTAATTAAAATTGGACCTTGTTTGGAAATGCACCTTAAAACACACAAAAATTATGTTCCTCTCCTTCAGAGCCCCAATTAAAATGTTGCAGTAGAAAAACCTTTGGCAGAAATAAGAAGTTTGTTTAGATGTGCACTTGCTGGGGTGACAGCTGTTTTTAGGGACCCATCTCTTCCCTGCAGGTGCACCCCACCTGCATGTGCTTCCTTGCCCTGAGCAACATGTTTAGAAATTCTGCGCTCATACTGGTGGTTTAGGTGCCTTCAAAATGAGAAATACAAGATTTAGAGTAAAAATCGGGACAGGGTTTTCAGAAGGTGTGGTGGATTAACTAATGGTCAATTTGTAACACCCAGCTGAACTGAATCAGTGTGGTCTGGGCATGGAGGATCCACCTGAGGATTGTTTCCAACAGCCAGAAAAAGAGAAATTGAGGGGAAGATTGTGGCCTGATGAGAAGCTTGCCATGGATGGTTTTCTTGATGCAAACTTGACTGTTCTCATCATCAGAGGAGCTGTCACTGGGAATGGCCACTGTTCTTATCAGGGGAGCTCTGATCTGATCTTCACCATGAGCATCACTTCATGGTCCACTATGGATCCCTCAGCCTGCTGGCACAAATCCTTCACCCAACTGGTGTAGGTTTTCCGGCTTCCATTACTGGCCTTTGGGTCTTTCAGGGGCAGATCCTCAATACGGGCAGGCATGCAACATTCCCAAAGGCTGTAGGCCACTGGCTGGACTTGAGGACATTGCCTTGGACTCTAGGACTTTAGCTGGACCTGTGTGGGACACTGCTGTGGGATTCGGGCCCTTGGCTGGATATTTTTGGTCTCTAGTGTGCGGTTAATCTCTTGCACTCCTCTGTATTTGACTTTTTTGGTAAATATCATAAAATAATCCTATAAACTATGTGTCCTATATTAAACGTATTTCCTTGCAAAAACCCTGACTATAACAGAAGGTAAACATGCCTACTTCTGGCATAGGTCTTAGTCACTGAGATTTGGAAATCACGTCAACCCACCCGCTGCTCAGCGCCTCAGAGATAAGCAAAGGAAGCAAGGTCTTGGCAGGGGACTCTGACACGAGCTGGCTCCCCATGCCCCCTCCCCCTGCTCCTCAGCCACCTCTGCTGGGGTTTGGCACCCATCTCAGTCATGCTCCCTGGACAGTGTGGGGCTGGAGAGGGCAGAGCAGGGAGATGTGTGGCTGCACTGACAGAGGTCTCGGTTGTCACTGCAGGATCACGTGTGCAGGGAACATGGGTGAGTCTGTGGCACTGCTGTCTCTAGGGAGGCCTTGGCAGGCCCTCTACTGCAGCTCCACTGTCTTCCTGGCATCTCCCAGTCCTCTGTCCTCTTCATCTTCCTGTTCCTCTTCTAGCTTCCATCTCTCTGGTGAGCTTTCTATCTGGGTGGTGTTGTGTCCCATACACAAACTATGTGACCATGGAGAGTCAGTGCAGTCTTGGCCTCTGTGCCTGTAAAATGGAGTTCTGGGAAAGGGGTGTCGGGTGTCATCTCTAGGTGCCTGGCAGCTCTGGGCTTGTGTTCACATGTGTGCGGACTGGTCTACACATACATGTGCGTCTTACAGCGAAATCCTGGGACTCCATGTTCCAGGGGGCTGAGGCTGTGTGCCCAGCCTGCTTCTCCCTGTGAGTTGCTGCAGAGCAAAGGACCCACTCAAGAGCCCACCTCAGTATTAAGCAGTCGTCCCCAGCAGGGGCTTCTGCAAGGTCATGGATGGTCCAAAGTGACTGATTTCAAGTGACTTCACAGTGACTGATGGTCAGAGGACACCAGGACTCAGCTACAACCAACAGTATAATTTTGCTTGAACATTTTTTTTTTTTTTCAGAAAAAGGAAAACCATTCTCTTGTGTTGACTCCATTGTCCCTCTGTGGAGTGACCTCAGAAAGGGAACCAGTGAAGCATTGCTGTGTTCTGAATGGAGGGTCTGGGATCTGCCATCAGCTGTGGGGTGACAGTCGATACATGAGCTGACCGACTGGTTTAATCTGTGTGAAAAACCCTAGTGGCAGTCCCCCAATATTCCAAACCAAATGGAATGATTCTAGAAACAGAGCATTCAACCTCCCCAGATCACGGAACCTGTCCCACAGCCCCAGGCTCATGGGGATCGTGCCCACTGGAAGTGCCCCAGAGGGGTGTTTGTTTCCATACCTGGCACCAACGCTTTCTTCAAAATAGACCTGGGCTGGGCTAATAGGTTGGGTTAACAGGTCCAGGTGCCAAGAGTGGTATCTACTGGGGCTTCAGCTCCAGAAGCCATCAGGAAGAGACCAACCTGTAAGTATGAATTGTTTCCTATTTTTCCTTGAGTTGAGATTTTTGTGAGTACAGTGCTGAGAGTAAACCATCATTATGCATGCAGATGCTTGGCTGCAAATAGTTCCTGAGAACCAAGAGTAAGCCCTTGTATCTTCTAGTCTCTCAAGAGCCTCACCCACCTCGCTGTTGTCCTTTGCTGAGGAAGGAGCCCTCTGTCCTGCTTAGCTCAGGGATGTGCATTTGAATGGAAATAGTGAGCAATCTCTAGCCTTCAGTAAACATGGTGGGCTTGTTTTCGGGAGTCTGAGGACCCTTGGGTCTGGGTCTGATCATAAGCTCTTGTGCTATTGGTGCCTTAGCCCAGCATCCTCCTGAGCTGAGTCCTGAGAGAAGCTGATGGGTTTCTCTCTCAGACACCCCAGCAGCGGAGCAGAATTCCCATCTGCTTTCATGACCTCTAATTTAAAAGCAAAGATTGCACATTATTTACTACTGGGTGGCTTCCCTGAAATTTAATGAGGACTAAGTACAAATATGACAGATGTAATTATCATAGTTTCATTCTGCACAGCCAGGGTCTTGTGCTGTAATTGCAAGCTTTCCATTCCATGGCTGCTGGAAGGTCATTATCATTCAGCCTCCATTTATTTCAGAGGGAAGAGGCACTGTGGGTTTCTAGTTCATTCCTATAGCTCAAATTTGACAAAAAAAAAAAATAGTACTGTGGTATGAAGTAAAGGAGAAAGAAAAAGGCACTGTAAAATTACTCTTCTCTCCTACATTGGCTTCTGCCCCAGGTCCCGGACAGGGAGGCTGCTCTGGACTCACACCTGAGAAGTGTGTGTATGTATTCCTAAAGCAAATTAGAAAAAAAAAAAAAAAAAGTACTGTGGTATGAAGTAAAGGAGAAAGAAAAAGGCACTGTAAAATTACTCTTCTCTCCTACATTGGCTTCTGCCCCAGGTCCCGGACAGGGAGGCTGCTCTGGACTCACACCTGAGAAGTGTGTGTATGTGCCTCTGTGTGTGTGTGTGTGTGTGTGTACAGCACAACCACTGCACCCAGTGTGTGCCAACAAGCCCGGCTAGCTGGGATACCTCAGCTGCTACAGACCAGGACTCCCCATGATGGGGGAGCTAGGCTCAGCCACGGCAGACTCTTGATGCTGGGACTTGAAAGTGACAGCATTGCTTCTCTGGCCTTCATATCTGGTGTGTTCCAGGAAAAGGAATGACTGCTGTAGGAAGAAAGTGGCTTTTCTTTTCCTTCAGTTTTGTTGTTATTTCTTTGGTGCTGGGAGTTAAATCTGGGGGCTTTGCTCATGCTAGGCATGTGTTCTACCACTGGGGTACAACCCAGCCCTTTGCAGACAGTGCGAGTATCCGGCACTGTCCCCTGCAGGTCAGGGACAAGTCCAGGGACTTACAAGCCTTGTTCCCAAGGAACAGTGTTGTTTGAGAATCACGAGCTGGGTAAGTGCATGAGGTGCTGGCTGAGATTCTGAATTGGTCTTGTGGAGAAGGATCAGCAGCAGGTGAGAGCATCTGGGGCAGATGGACCCATCTTGTGCCACTTCTGCGAGGTGAGGAAGTCATCCTCATGACCCATCACCAGGTCGGGAGCAGGTGGGTGGAGAGAGAGTGCTCTGGACCAGCTCCCCATTCTGAGTTCATTTTTCAAAGTGTGTGTGCTCTCCTTGTGGGCTGTGACTCTTCAGGGAAGGTGACGCTGGGGTCTCAGTGAAAATACAATGGTGCTGACATGATCAGCAGTGAAGGATGCGTGCCATCCAAAGCCCTCATGTTCTATTTATGGTCCCGTTCTCACCACCAGCAGCAACCCAAGAGGGCAGGAAGGCCAGGGACCCTGTGACATGCTGGACCCCAGAGATGACCTGAGTGCTCTTGACCTCCCTGATGACACACTGCAGGCTGAGACGGAGGAGCAGTGTAGAATCGGAAACGCTGTAGCTCAGGTCACAAATCCACACTGAATTGTGTCTCTCCTGCTTGGTTTCACCCACGGTCAGATAGGATCTCCAGGATCTTGGCTCTGGACACCTCATTTACTTCTCTTCCTTCCTGCCCTTGCTCTAACTCACCTGGGAGAACAGCCCAGTCCTTACCAAGAAGATCCCCACATCCTGGCCCCTCTGCTGAGGAGACCCCATGCCCTGGCTTCTCTACTGCTCCTCCCACCCACTCTGCTCATCTGACTTCCCCTTTGCAGCTGCCTGCTGCCTCTGGGCTTGGTATGGGTGAACACATAAGTGGTTCCCACAGTCACAGGTTTCCTTGAGGACCAGTGAGGAGGCCCATGGAAGTCAAGGGTGCTTGAATGGGGGAAGCCACCATGCCACTGTCCCCAGATGCAGGGCTCCTTCACCTTCATGTGCAGTCCTCGAAGCCACAGCCACAGATGCTGGCTCGTGTTTTATTAAAGTGATACTGATCACCACAGAACCTGAGGCAGAAGACTTTGAAGCTCTGAGCTGGTCTTGAGATCACTGACACAGGGGTGGGTTTGGGCCTAGATTACTGTCTCCCTGGAACACAGGGACAATAAGCAGCTCCAGGAAAGGGGCTGCCCCCAGCAGGAATATCCTCTGGGCACAGCCTCCTCACCATTTTGTTCAAACCTGGACCTCCAGGTCCACTCTGTCCAAGCGGCCTGCCTGAGTGAGAGAGGGGCAGGAGGCCTGGGACATTGCTGCCATGCCCTGCAGGGAGACCTTCTAGTGACTCCTGCTCCCTGAGGAGAGCTGGCTAGGCCTTGGTGGTACTCACGATGGGGCTGGCGTTGATGTAGTCTGAGTTGCCGTGGCTATTCTCGGCCTTCAGCAGGATCCGGGAATGGTCATCTGTAAGCAACATGAGAGCAGGTCAGGGTCACCCTGGTCCCTGTGTCCCTTCTAATGGGATCTCCCTCCCTTCAGCACAAGAGGCACAGCCAGAGCCTGTGGGGCATGGCCCAGAGCCTGCCTAGGGACGGGGGGTTCCAATGTCTCTTTCATATAAAGCTCACACACCAACGGTGTTTCCTCTGCGGTATTTTATATGCTTTTTGCCTTCACATCACAGATACACTTGTCAACATACAATAAATAGACATAAGTGAGAACATTAGCCAATTGGCTATCATCTGAAATACAAGATTTTGTAGTTGATGAATGGTTACATCCCTAAGGTTACTGGACATAAGACCTAAAGAACCTGCAGCCAAAAAGGGAAGAGAATCAAGAGGAAGCTCATGAGCATGAAGATGGCCTGAATAGGAAGACACCAGACTCGCCACAGCGCTAGAGGTTTATGAAGAGCAGCGTGGACAGTTTGTGAGCCACCTGGCCTTGGCATAGAGCGAGCCCTCTGCTCACTGTGTTCCTCTCCCTGTGCCTTTCTCCTTGCCACCTAGGACTCTGCAGGGCACCCTCAGCAGGAAGGCGGGAGGAGTGTGGTGAGAGGGTGTGGGGCTGCCCCCAGTGCTATGTGGGACCCAACCCTGGTCTTCTCTCCGGTGGAGATGACAACGTCTGTCTGGGGCCTCTGGAAGCCAGTGTGGGAGCTTTCCTCTGACTCACCCAGCTCCCAATTCCCACATATCCAGCTACTTCCCATGGTAAAAAGGGCCTGGTCACCAGAGTGCCTTGGTAGTGAAGGCCTGGAGACTGTGCTTGACTTGAACCTTCATTTCTCTTGGAGATTTTACTCAGTTTTTTTTTTTTAAACAACAGATTCTGGGGCTTGGGAAATAGTGGGTCTTGTAACAGGTGAAACTTGGAAAGTTCATCTGTGGGTGATGGGATGGTGCCAGAGGCTCTCCTGGGAGCTCTTCCTATGGACACAGTTGATCCCTTGTGTATGTGCATGTGTGTGTATGTTTGTGTGTATGTGTGCGTGTGGTTGTAGAGTGAAGAGTTTCTAAGTCATCCTAGCAGCTTTTATTGCCCTGGTACTTGGGCTTGGATCCAAGGCCTCCAGGGTGCTGAACAAGTGCTCAGTCACACCCCAGCCCACTGGCTTTCAGCAAAGGTGTGAATAACAATCCCAAAGTCCCAGGGATGCAATGGCTTCTTCCTGCACACATTTATTCCTAAGAGGGTGCAAAGTGGCAGTGACAGGAAATTGAAATAAAATTCACAAGAAAAAAATTGGTCAACTCTAACTTTCCAACATGCTACAAACGCTGCCCCCCAAATCAGAGTCTAGAAGCTCCGATTCACAGGATGGTACTGCACAATCTTGCAAACAAGATGCCCACTGCATGCAGAGGTGGCCCACTGTCTCAGGGCACAGCCATACTGAAATCTGGAATGAAGAGCTGGACTCTAGCTGGGTTCTGAGTGCTGAAGTATTTCTGACCTGGGCAGTTTTAGGCATGTGTGCTATGGCAACTGGCGATTGCTCCTAGCTGTCGGAGAAACTGTTACAAAGAGCAGGTTGGGAGTACATGGGGACAGGGAAGGAAAAATCACAGCTTGCAATTTCCCGTGTTGTGAGTGGGACACAGCACATGCACCCTAGAAGGGCAAGGTGGGGAGGCCGAGGCAGAGCCAGCCTCTCACAGGGGACAGTGCTGCCTCACTCTCCGGCCCCTGTGTGCCATGGATGGCTGTGTTTTCTCATTGTAAAGTTGAGAGGTGCCCCTAAGCTGGGAAGTCCCTGTGAGACATGGATGTGGCCTCCTAAGACCCTACCTGCACTGTGGACTGGAGGGATGGTCTGCTGGGAGCCCTCCATGCCCTAAGGTGGTGACAGCCACACCACTGAGCTACTGCAGTGCTTGGTTTCAAGTTGGGCACAAGGGCTATGAGAACTTCAGAGGCCCTCCACCCCCTCAGAAGGTAAGGGTGGTTCTGCATCAACACCTTCCTCTTAAAATTAAATGAGACAATGCTTTTGGCATTGGGCCATCTTGAGGCCCACTGGAAGGACCGAGCATGGCGGATGGCACTATGTGCATAGGAACGAGGTTTGTTGGGTGGATACTTTGCTGCTGGGCACATCTCCAGACTACTTGGTGGTTCGTCTTTTTAAAGAGATGCTCTCACCAAGCTCTGGGTTTCCTGAGGACAGGCTCTGGCACTGCCAGGGTTGGTAAGGTTGCCTATGTCTGCTAGGATGCTGGGGAGGGTGGTGGTCTGGTGGAAGCTGGGTGCTGCCCCAAGCTCAGTGCAAGCTGGGGAAGCAAGCTGGGTGGCCACTCCCTGCACTCCTCACTGATTGAGCCCCCTGCTCCTGGACCATGTACCTTCCTAGCACTGGGGCCACAGTACATTTCAGGGAGGGCTTCTCAAAAACCCTGGATTCCAGAGCCAGGGCACAGGAAGTCTGCCTAGCTACTTCTTTTTCCTCCAACAAGACCCACAGGTCTCTGTCTTCCCAGGGAGGGGAGGGGGAGGTGAGTGTGGAGAGGATGCTTGAGGAATGAGCACCTTGGGCCTCCCTCCCAAGCTCCTGAAGTATCTGTTGGTGTCAGTGGACACCTCAGGCTTCTCTGATGCTCTGTATTTTCACATACATCATCTCTGAACACCCGGAATCCTGTGTCATGGGTCAAGTAGGCACGATTTGGCTCTCCGGCAGGGTCCTTGGCAGCAGCAGATGTGGCCTTGTGTCCCAGCCCTACCATGAACTCTCCAGGTGATGCTGAGGTAGACGATTCATGTGTCACACATCAGATTCTTCTTCCTAAACATAGTCATGGCACCCAGCTCACGGGCTGCTGGGATGGGCAGTGAGGAGCTTGGGAGGGAGCTCCAGGTCACAGAGGACACCTGCCAGAGCACAGGCCTCCACACGGGCATAGTGTACCCAGGGCACATGGTCTCTGCAGTAAATATAAGATGAATTTAAGCAACCACAGGAGAAGCAAGTTCCCAACATCTCCTGTGGATGGTGGCTGTGCTGGAGTCCCACAGAGCCCTTAGTAGCCCAGGTCAGCAGACTCAAGACTGGAGCCTGCTGTGTCCTGGAGGGAGGGAGGCACCTGGAGGCTGCTCATGACTTGAATGTCCCCCTGCAGTGTAGCTCTTTGAAGATGTCTCCTGGCTCTGTTCTTCCTTTCAACTGAGGGAGCCCATGTAGGTAGCCATCAGCCTGGCTTTTGTCATCCCTAGATGCTTTGGTCAGAACATCAGATGGAGTAGGTGGTCCACAGGTGTGGGCTCCATGGTGCTGGACAACAGAGCAACCCTATTTAGGTGGGGCCATGTCAGTCAGCTCTTCTGTCCCTGGACAAACATTGGCACCCAAAACATAAAGGAGGAGAGCATAAATGTGGTTTCAGGAGATTTGGTTCATGGTTGGCTGCTCCAAGGCCAGAGCCTCATCGTGGAAGGGCATGGTGGAACAGTGCTGCTCAGTTCATGGTGGCTGCACAGCACAGCAGGGGAAAAGCACTAGAAGGAGGGGGCTCAGGACCAGGTAGACACCCCGTGACCACGCAGACATGTCCAGGACCCCGCTCTACTCATCTGCCGAGTGTCTCTCACTCTAATCAAGTTGGCATCAGAATTGATGATCACAGGGGCCCCAGCTGTCTGCATTTTCTGTTGAGATTTAGATGGAATCATTTATGCCATGGGCACCATGTTCTTGCCTCAGTGGTGTGGCTGATGGCAATGTGGACACATCTGGTGAGAGTAGGTAGCAGTTTGCCGCTGTGCAGCTTCAGGGGATTCTTGGCTTGGGATGGCATCAGTGACCACGGCTCCTCTGTGGTTTCATGGATCCACTGGTAGTATGACTTACGATGAGGTCTCTGCCAGAGGTCACCCACTGCTGTCCTACACCAGCCATGGGTGCGGGCCTTGCTTCTCCAGCTATTGCACATGGAAGACTGTGTTCTGACTTGTTATGGTAGAGGCAAAGTGACACATCATCATGTCACATCTATTTAGCTCTAGGATGCTAGACGAGCCTCTCTGCAGATCTGAAGACATGACGACAAGTGGCAGGGTGACTGTTAGACCCCATCTGTGGGGTGCATCCTCTGTGGATAAAGGCTCCTCCCCACTCTGTCTGCTCCCTGCTGCGATGCTTGTGACCTAGGCTTGGGTGATCATGAAGGCCAATGTGCACAGAAAGCCACAGAGCTCTGTTCATGGCCTCCATGGATGGTGACATGACCTTGCATCTGGGCAAACAGGGATGGCTAGGGTGTCACACCAGAAAAGCCCCCTGCATCCTGCAACAGTCTCAATATGAGACTGTTCCTCTCCAGAGGCTACTGGGGAGCTGCCAAGCAACCATTCCCTGTGTTTGGCTTCCCTGAGAGCCCACCAGCAGAGCTCTGGAGCTGTGACAGTGAGCTAAAGGTGGTGGTCTCGAGTTGTGCTCTTGTTTCTAAGGTGTGTCACCATTATCCCCAACAGGTCTCTGAGAAAGCAATTCCCAAATAGGACCCTGTGTGCAAACAGAGTACAGGGTCTGATTCTGACCACACAAGCCCCACTGCCTGTCTCTGTGTGGAAGGGGAACTCCCAGGAGAGGCTATATGCCAGGCCAAGCAGGCCACTCCAAGGAGCTGAGCCGAGTCCCTCCAAAAAGACATGTGTGCCCAGAAACAGGGTCCATACATAGTCATGAAGTTAGACAAAGTCATGGAGGTGGTGTCTTTAGCAAGGGCAGTCTGGACACAAACAGGAGAAGACATTATCTGAGCCCAGAAGAAAGCCTGCAGGCAGAATCAGCCCAGTCGCTCCTTGATTGGGACATCAGGTAAGACACAGAGCGAATGAGCTCTGGTGCTGGAGCCACCCTTGTGCTGTTAGGGCAGACAGCTCAAGCAAGGGGATACAACTAGATATGGGGTGATGCAGGGAGTTGCTGTCATGATGGCCACAGGTGTGTAGAAGGTCCTTATGTTCAGGAGATGTTGACTAGAGTACTTTGATGTCTGCTGCCTGAAACCTACTTTGCCAAGAATAAACAAAGCCCACACACCTGTCACTCAGTCGCAGCGTGATGACATGTGGAAGTAGTGGCATGTCCAACCTGGCAGGGGGCCATGCCAAACCCCAGAAGGGGGACCCCTAGGGAGCAGATAGGGGATGCACCGGGCTTGCTGGTCGGCAGTCATCGCAGGGTGAAGGCTGGGCACCTGTGGGGACTTCAGCAGGGGGCATGAAGGACCTCCAGCTCTGGCTCCTTTGCTTGCACAAGGGAGATGCACCAAGGACTGCACAGGCATCAAGACACTGTGGGGACCTAGCTGGCACTGGGTCCATGCTCCAATCCTGGGAGGCTGGATCGCAGATCTTGGTCAGGGTAGGGAGGCTGGACATGGAGCCCACGCATTTCCTGGGCTCTGTTCTGTCATGACATGGAGACAGGAGAAACGTGTACCAAACAAAAGCTGGCAGCACAGTGTGGAGACCATGGTGAGTCAAGGGCCAGGATCTCCATGGTTCTGAACAGGGTTTCACCCCCAGAGACAACTCAAGGTCCAGGTCCCTGTCATACTCAGAGATTGTGGGAGGGTGCATGGTGGCTGGGGTTCTTGGCCCAGCAATGTTCCTCATGGAAAAGACCTGGGTTTCAGGGGAAAGCCACCAACATGGCCAACATGGCCAAGGGCACCATTGAATGCAAACTCCACTCTCTTGCTGGAGCACTGGATGAGGGTCCATCCTCTCCGGGTAGAATCCTAGGACTGAGAGCGGAGACTGCGTGGTCCAGTTAACCTGGCTCTGGGACTATGAGCTGGGCTGGCACTGCCCTGTCTGACCATAATGCTTTCAGGATATGAGAACAGGACCTCCCTGTCTATCCTGTGTCCCTAGTCTGCAACCCTCCATTCCCTCTCAAAATACTTCTGTCACGGTCTGTGTCTGCTGCTCTCTCTGTGGTATTCTAATAAAGAAACAAAGGGTTTTTTTTTTTTCTGTTTAAAACAGTGCACCAAAATAGTACCAGAGTTCTGTTCTTAATTTGAGAGGCAGACAACAAACTGTTCTTTTTAAACCATTCAAAACTCTGGCCATGCATGAGCACATTAAGGGCCTCAAACTTCTGAGATAACATAATGAGAAAGACCCAGTGCTGAGCGAGCACCTCATGAGCATCAGCAGCCTTCTCCTCTCAAGAGTGTTCTGGAGAGTGAATCTCTGAGCTGGGAGGGGCCCAGTGTGGCCAGTAATCCTGCTGTGAGTGTCCTACAGCCTCAGCCCCAGGAGTCACACTCAGACAGCATCACGTGGGCCAAGGCACCAAAGTGGGGAGGGTGGAGAGGGGCTCCTTAGGGTGAGTGGGAGAACAAACTCAGAGGCCACACCATGCTGCACAGAGCAGTGGCGGGATGTGGCTTCACTCTTGGGGGCAGGTGACAGCAACCTGTTGCATTCAGCCAGTGGGAGGAGGCAGCACCAGGGAGGAATGGGAGGCCAGAGGGTGCACAGTGAAGACCTTTCTTGGGAAAAGGTGGGAACCCAAGAATGTCACCACCAGACATGGTCATAGGAGCAAATGCAGAGTGCACAACAGAGCCCACTTCCTCCTGAAGACACCAAGATGCCACCACCAAGAACATTTGTCAGGCTCCCTCGGAGCCCAAGGAAGGCAGCCCATGGCCCACTCCAGCCTCACTGCAGGGCCAGCTCCACCTGCTGGGAGGACAGGGTGGACAGAGAGAGAGGATGAGAGAGGGTCAGGGCTCCTGTTGGAGCTGGGAGAGAAGTGAGGACTGGCGAGGGCCAGGCAGCAGAGCAGGTCACATGTGAGGGCCAAATACACCACTCACTCAAACACACCCCACCCAGGTGCTCCAGCCAGACGTGGGCCTCATCACCCCATGAAACCATGTTTACTCTAGCTCTGCAGTGCCAGCCAGGCAGCCAGGACTCTGAGGGTAGCTGGGCTCATCCTGGCACTTCTGGACAGGTCACTCTCTTAGTCTTGGAAGGGGCAGACCTAGGGCTCAGTACAGGGGATGCCCAAGGACCTGGTCCTCCTTGCCTTGCCCAGAGGACTTGTTCCTGAGGACAGTGCTCAGCTCTCACTGGAATCCTCACCTCTGAACTTGCTGCTGACACTGTGAAGATGGAGCTCCAGGGCCATGCGGGCCAGTTACACAGCGCAAGGACACACCAGTGCCTGACCCTGCCATGGGCTGGCTGTTCCTGGAAGGTTTGTCACAGAGGAGCAGTCTGGATTCAGTCCTGACCCAAAGCTGGTGATCCATTTTCCATCAGACATGAGCAGTCTCATGCATGTGCATCTATGGGCCTGTCTACTCCCAACTCCAGCCCTAGGGCTTGAACCTAGGCCAGTATAGAAGGGGCTCGGCAGGTAGAGGCTGGGTGCCCACCCCTGTAGACACTTGCTGGTACGTACAGGTCAGCACGGCTGGGCAGCGGTTCTTGGCCAGGTTCTCCTCCCTCTGGGCGGCAAGTGAGCTGCTGGGCTCTGCCTGGTAGGCACACAGCGCCTCCCACTCTTTCTCCAGCCGATTCTTGTTCTGCAGGTGGTCCTCCATGTAGGCCTGAAAAGGAGAGGAAGTCAGGAAAGTGTGCAGGGCACAGAACACAGTGCTCTCTGAGTCCTTGGTACTGAGTGTTCCTGAATCCTGTGGTGGTTTCTGGAGCAGTGTGAAACCTAGCATACCCAGCTTCGAATATGCAGATGGGCCAGACAGAGCTGGCATGGAAAATATGTGAGGGCGAGGGACTCTGGGCTGGAGCAGGTGGGCTGGACCCTGGCATAGGAACATGGTCAGGCCAGGGTGCTGTGCCAGGGGACAGAGGACACAGTGCACAGGGGAGGGGCTTTGGGTTGGGGCTGCAAGGGTGATGACACTGGTGCTTGGGAACATCCTGAGGACATTGCCACCCATGTGAGCAGGAGCAGATGTGGAGACAGTTCACAGCAAAGAACAGCCCTGGGTGGGCTATAACACAGGGCTTAATGCTCCACTAGATGAGAACTCCTAAGGAACTGAGTTTACCAATGGACATCCTGGGCTCCGGTCATTCGATTTATCCTTCTCTTCCTGACTACCAGCTAACAACAGATGCCACCTCATAAGAATTCCTCAAAATCATCTACTTGACAAACAGAAAGCACAGCGCTGGACCTCACAGTCAGAGTGGCATTGGAGCCTGGGGCAGGGACTCAGCCTTGTGGGCTGGGGAGGGTGGGTTGCTGTGGGAGGCATAGCCCCAAAGCAGCCATCCGTCTCTCCTGAGTTCCAGGTGGGCCATGTGGACATGCCACCAGGTTGCCCAGGACACCCATTTTGTGAGAAGCTGTCATCTCCCAGGGAGGGGCTGACACACATCTTGCATGTGCCATGGTGGGCACCAGCATGAGATAGGTGCATGCTTATACACACATACTATCCATGTGAAAACACAGGTATGAGAAAGGTGTTTGGGAATTGGTTTACCCCAGAGACAGAGAGAGTCACCAACTATTAAGTTCAGCTTATCCTTCTCCTGTCCCTTGTCCTGCTTGTGCTCACACAGAGATTGTTTCCCTGAAAATGAGTGGGACAGGAAGGGAAGGGTCCTCCTCACATCCCACACAGCCCCTCAGCCTGTGTCCCCTCCCTGCTGCTCTGACAGTGCCAGCTCTTGGCAAGTGTGGCCCAGGAATCCGGGGCATGCAGATGGCACGTGGAGTCCCTGTCTGGGAGCAGCCAGGGAGCTGCTGTAAGGCATGCAGCAGGGGACATGCTGGAGGCTTGGGTGTCCCCATCACCCTGCAGCCTGCATGACCCACTCTCCATCCAGTGTCCCTATATGTGAGCCTCGGGCCTCCCAGTGTGGAGCAGCCACCCATGGAGATGGCCCATGGGGTGAAATCAGGCAAAATCCAAATGGTCCCATCTAGAGAATGGAGATCACTTGCTGTTCTCTTCTGAGATGACCATTATAGAATATCAAACACACATTCTTGTCCCACAGTTTCTTAGAGCAGAAAGTTCTGTGGCCAGATGCACTATCTAAATTGTGGGATGACCACAGCTGGCTCCTCCAGCCTGAGCCCTGAGGCTGCATAGTCCAGGCAGGTGTGTAGCCACTTTTCTTGGTTCCTGGTGAAAGATCCTGTCCAGCTGTGCTTTGGAAATAGCTCTTACAAAAACCACACGGACACCTGAGCTTCTCCCAGCAAACTATGGAGACCAGCAGGCCTGGACCATCCCAGGTGTCACCTGCAGGGGGCCTGGTGGCATCCGAGTACCTGTGCACTGCACTGCTTAACCCCCTGCATTTATCTTCCCTATGGCAAGTGCAATCACTGAGCATCCATGCATATTTCTAAAATCATGGTAAGAAATCTAAAGTGAGCTTCGGGTTAGCAAGCTTGGCTATGGAAGGGAAGACGTGGTATGATATTGTTTTCCCCTGAGACGTTAGTTTCAGGTGGACTTGATTATATTAAATAGGCAAGATTGTCAGTCTCTTAGCACTCACTCCAGCAGGCTGTCAGTCCTTTTCCATATGCTTCGATTCAGTACGTCCTGTATTTTCTACTAACATTCTTAGGAATCATCATTCATTATAAGAAACTGATATGACTGCACCCAGCCACATCCTCAGAGTCTCCCCTCTTCTGTGGTTTGTGGGTAAAATGCCTCTCATCTGCCAATCTGTGGGAAGCTGGCCTTTGTGATATAATAACACATTTTAATCAATAAAGAAAAACCAGAAAGTGCCACAGTCACTCAGTGCTCTTCAGGGACGCGAAGAGCCAGAGCCCAGACAGAGGCAGCCTTGCTGGCCAGGCATCAGTGGGACTTCAGCAACACCCAGCCCACCTGCCCATGGGCTTCAGCTGGAGATATTGGTGAGCAGACACCCAATCGTCTTTACTTCACAAGGACCGTGCATGTGCAGGGTGAGGGGCACAAGGGCTTAGCTTTTAAAAACCTGTGACATCTTTGACATATAAATAGCACACGTAGAAAAGAGCAGAAAACCAAGACAAGAATGAAAACAAAAGGTTTGAATAATGTGATTGCCCAGCGCAAACTCAAAGGCTTTCAGATTCAGCCCTTCTCCCTACTCAGGCCAACTTGCTTTCTCTTCAGAGATGGATACTGACTATTATCGACACTCGGGTATTCTCAATATTATAGATTTTTCTTATTTCAGATGAAAAGATGACAATAAGAGGCTTACATGTTATATAAAGCAGAACCAGAGAAGGCAAACAGTTGGTTTTTGGCTCCCACAGCCAATGGCAGCTCTGTGGCTGAAGCCTGGACTTGGAGCACACGGAGGCTCAATCCTGGCTGGGTTCCTGATGCCACATCAGCCTCTTGCTGCTTTCGTCATGGAGCAACCAGGCAGTGGTTCCCTTGCCGCAGTAGACAGGATGTTGGGTGCATGGCAGCATGAGCTCAGAACACAGTAGCTCTTCCTGCACACAGGTACCTGTGGCAAGTGTGACTTGTGGGTCAAGCACAGGGACAGAGCAGCAACAGCCCTTGCAGCCCTTGGCAGCTATAGCCCATGACAAGAGCTTTCAGCTTTTCACTTATAGGAAGTTCTCTTCAGCTTTTCTCTGGCACATCCAAGTGGTTGGTATTGTGGCCCTCGTGTTTTCATCACCAAGTAAGGGCACCAAACACCAGCCCATGACACCATGCACTTGACCTGAAAACTGCAGAGGGGCACACACTGTGTGCAGATGTTAGACAAAAGCGAAGTTCCTGCCCTGGGTGGGATGGTTTGGAAGGTGGGAGAGTCCACCTTGTTCCTTGGAATGTCTGCAATCTAAAACTCAGGAATATGTTCATTTCTGGGATTTTCCAGGTAATCTTTTCAGACCACAGCTGACCACAGGTAGCTGAAACTTCAGAGAGTGAGACTGGGAATGAGGGAGACATCAGTGTTTCTGTTGAAGTACCACCTTCAACAACCAGCAAGGGCCAGGAGTGGTGTATACACCTGTAATCTCAGCTGCTCAGGAGGCTGAGGCAGGATGATTGAAGGTTCAAGCCCAGCTTGGGCAACTTAGTGAGACCTTGTCTCAAAAAAAAAAAAAAATGAAAAAGCCTGGGTATATAGTTTAGAGGTAGAGCACTACTGGGTTTGACCCTGGTACTGCAGAAAAACACAAAACAAACCTCTAAACCAACCCATCAGGGATGCACACACTAGCACAATCCTGTTTAGACTCTGTTCTTGGACTTGCTGTTTTCTGTCCCAGCGAGGCTCTGTTCCCACTGTCTGCTCCCTGACCCCCATCTCTAGCTTTGTTCCTGGTGATGCTGCTGTGCTGAATCCACCCTGAATTCTAGGTCCAGCTGGAGCATCTGCTCTTCACCCTACCCCACATTGCACACCTTTCTTCTTAACAAGTCTTTAGCCCTGAGCACTTCCGCTCTATGCTGTAATTGAGGCCTTGAGCTCTCTGAGATGCAGTTTTTTTCTAGGGTGTGGAATGTATTTCAGTCCCTCAGCGCAGGCAGTGACACACTGCATGATTCCCAGTAACCTGTAAGTAACTTGCACTTTGGATTAAAGCCTCACATTGGCGATGGGCATCAGAGACATTGACTCCGAGTCCTCTAAAACTCAGAAGAGTTTCCCCAAACTGCAACCTCAGGAAAGTCACTGTCTACTGACATGTTTCAAATGGGCCATCTTCCTTCCTGTGTTATTCACAGCATCTTTAAACTTGAGCAAAAGGGTGACTCCCATCCCCTGCCCTAGCCCAGGCCTGAAGTCCATCCAGGCCCAGCTGAGGCCATCTCCTTAGAGGCTTGCCACAGACTTTGACCTCCTGTGCACACAGCAGGACCTCTTTTGCATCACAGGCTGGGCTGCCCCAGTCCCCTGAGAGCTTTGGCTCCTGGAGCTTGGGAATGAGCCTGACACCCCTCTGCACTGCCCCCATGGGTGGTACATGGCCCTGAATTCTAGAACCTGTGTAGAACCTCTGATTAGGAAGTACTAAGATGAGTGATGTGAGGCAGACAAGGCTGGATGGAGCAGCCAGAATGCACCACTACCTAACACCAATGTTAACTGGCACTTAGCACTCACATCTGCAAGCTGGCACTGGGGACTGCGTGGTAGGGCATCTTGATCTCGGAGATGCTCAGCCCACACACACTTTCGGGTTCTGAAGGGCCCTGGCTCGCTGGACTCAGCAGGACCTGGCTGCATTCTAGAACTCCTTGGAGTTCTGCAATTGCTCTAGATTCTGGCTGTATCACAGGGGATAGCGCCCACCCCTCTCCTGACCTCTGCTACCTCCTGAGGTGACACTTCACATGCCTATGGGAAACACAACCTCAGGTCAAACTGTGGGAGAAGCAGAGCCCCCAGTGCCAGGGAAGCGCACGCTCACACACAGCTGAAGCTGCTTCCAGACTGTGAGGGAGGACTCGGCATCTTCAGTGGCCAAGGATAAACCTGAATTTCTCACCATTCTTTTCCTTCCAGGACAGCATCATCAGCTTTCCAAAGACTTCTTATGAGACTTGAACTCAACCTGCGGTGCTCCTCTTTGACTTTTTCTTCTCACCTC